AGGTCAAGGCTCACTTCCTGCCCAGCCCCGTCCAATCAGCTACCGCCCCATCCACCCCCTAGCCAAACCCGGAACGCAGCTCCCTATAAATATATGCGCAGTCGTTGAATAAAGCAGAACTTCTCTGGCGAACTGTTAGCCCGGGTCTTGCATGCTTCCTTCGTCTGTGCACCCCTTCATTGGTGCCGAAACCCGGGAAGGAGTTCACCCTGCTCCAGGGGACTCCTTCCTCGGACTCCTCCGCGACACCCCGGGACTGACGGTCTGCCCTTGTTTATTTTCTCTGGCTCTGGTTTCCTTCACCCACCACTGGCTCATCTGTTAGGTAAGCCCCCTTTTCCTTTTGTCAGGCTTGTAGATTATTTAGACCTTCACCCTAATCGCATTCCCCCAGGCCCCGGAGGCTAAGCCCCCATTCCTCTCTCTTTCTCTCACTCCTTTTAACCTTCCTCCTACCGGGTCCTGGACCTACGCTGTCCGTCAAAACCCTAGTGCGCTAGGTCCCTCCGGCTACAGGCATCTTTGCCTACGGGAAGTGAGGGTCTAGGTGACGACCTACACCCCCTTCCTTCGTGGGTTCATCCTTGAACCCATCCCCTGGGAATGGCACGACTCACTGGGGACGCCCTCTGAGTTCCGTCATTCTCATCCAGCCAGAGGGCTTGTTCCAATCCTCCTTTTAAACCTTCTCTCTCTCTCTAATCCTCTTCGGAATGGGAGCTTCCGCCTCCTCCCTCCAGGGTGATTCACCCTTACAATGTTTCTTAAACAACCTTACCACCCTATCCCTCAAGCCTGACATTAAACCCAAACTCCTCACTAAATTTTGCACACAAGATTGGCCTTATTATCTCCTAGATAACCAAAATAAGTGGCCCCCTGAGGGCACACTCGATCCTGACATTCTCCGGGACCTTTTTAACTACTGCCAGCGCCTGAGAAAGTGGAAAGAGATTCCATATGTTGAGGCTTTCCGTCTGCTTGCCCGACATCCCTCTCTCTGTCTCACCTGCTCTCCTTCCCAGGTTCTCCTTGCTTCCAAACCCCCTTCNCCTCTACTCCCCAACCCCCTCAGTTAACTCCGCTCCATCCGCCTCCTGCGCCCGGCCGGCCAGCCGGTAAACAGCCCTGGTCTCCGGGGCAACCGCCGCAAGGTGAGGGGCCACCTAGTCAGCCAATTCTCCCTCCTGCCTCTTCCTCCCGTTTCTTCCAGCCCTGCTTTGCCACCATTTCCTGTCCCTCAACCCCCACAAGCAGCTC